TATCACTTCCAAGAGTGGGGGAATCTAATGACAGGTACTGACCATTTACACTGGAGCAGACCTTCAAAGCAGATGTGTCAAAATAACACTCCAATTTATTTAAGTTCAGAAACTTTCGTGACCAAAGATGACTTCTTATAAATACTTCCAAAGGAATTACTCATTGTGCATTTAATTATCAAGTTAAGTATGCGTGGGAAAACAATGGAGTATAAAACTGTCACGGCACTTTTCTATCCTGCTGCTCTGAATCAGGTCTTCAGGAAAAGAAAAGGACAGATTAGAAGAGACAGTAATTTTTTGCCATTAATTAGCTTTCAAGCTTTTAACACAGGACTGACACAGGCTTATCCATCATATTCAGTAGAGTACATTTTGTACCAAGAACTGAAGGAGCATCACACTTTCATGTTTCCCATCATAGTTCCAATAATTACAATGTTCCCTGATTTTTAGATAATGTGACTGAAAAGGAAGGGGGGCGAGAGAGCAAGTTCAGTTCCAAGAAAAACAGAATACTTTGAAGAAAAGTTGTATGAAATCTGAGGAAAATCCTGGAGGAATGCAGTTTTCTGCTAACTGAACAGGTGCAGAAAGCATTAGGGGATTTCTTACCTCGCATACTCAAAAACTGATACTCTGAAATGTAATCACGTTAAATTCAGAGGCTGCAATTTTAACTGCTGGCTTAAATGCTTACAAATAATTGCATTCAAAGAGTGTTTACTGCTTATTTCTTTAAATAAAAGGATAGTGGTTGTTTCTGTAATTAAACCTGGAAACTTTTTATCTTACTAAAACTCATTTAGCCTGCTTTTTTTCAAACCCTAGTTATTCCCTTCAAAGTCAAGGATGGAGATGTCTATTTTCTTTTACAAAGGCAGAGTTTCCGCAGAGAGGCTGGTTTAGTCATAGCCTGCACAGTGTTTCAGATCCTTGGTGAAAAGTCTCACTCCACAAAGCCCTCGAATGCTATAAACAGAGAGTGAAGTATCTGATTTTACAGATTTATTATTCTCATTCAACTGTCTCTTCTTTTTTTCTCTCTCTCGTAGACAAAACCAACAATGGAGGAGTAATAGTTGGTGTCATTGTAGGAACCATTTTGGGATCTATATTAATTGGTCTGACTGGATATTTTATATGTGGTAAGAAAAGCTCTGAGCCATTTTCCCACAGACGGCTTTATGATGACACAAGGAATGACCCAGGTAAAGAATACCACAAGTGTTTTGCATAAGAATGTTTTTTATTTCTGCACAGAGCTGCTTAAATAATCTGGTCTTATTGAATTATTAGCAATTATATTATTGACTCCAGTCAAACTAGTTTTCAACTGACAGTACTTCATTATTTTTAAATTTAGCTTAATCCATACTCCCCCTAACTCTATGTCTCCTCCTTACAAGTTATTTTTTTAACCTCTGAAATATCAGGAAATATCGTAACACGTATGAGTGAACCTATTCAAAGAACTGAGGGCGAGTTCAAAACTACAGCTCAAAAGCTCTCCCAAACTTTGATTAACTGAAAAAAGCTAGATTCCTTACCCATCCAACTTCAGTTACTAAATAAGGGATGAATATAAATCTGGTTTTAGGAGTAAAAATATTTTTAAGAGGTTGAAAAATAAATCTCTTTTGTCTTCTCCATGAATATGTATAAACTTATATAAAAGTGTAATCACACAGTCTCCAAACATTTGTATCATGCCCCTGGACTTTATTTTTAAACATTTAAATGAACAGTGAGAGGCTAAACACACTTTTTCTCTCATATAAAATCAAATCAAAACAGAACTCTGGCAATACGCCCTTCCTGGCTTAAATACAAGAGCTGAAAACTGCCAGAACGTCAGACTAGGAACTAGCTTTGAAAGTCGACCACCCATGTAGTGCCGAACAGGCGTTACCGGGAGGACATGAATTCTCTCCAGAAGATCATGAATCAGGACCTTCAGCTTTTGTTCCCCCATACGTAAGAAAGATATTAACTGGATTTAGCTGTGAGGGACTGCTGAACTAAACCGTGAGGTACCCAGCATATGGGGATAAGAAGCTTTCAAGCAATATATAAAAAATAATTACGTCATCCTTTCAGTTCTCCACTTAGACAACTCACTCGGACCATATGATGCAAACTTTGCATGTGCGTCAGACGACAAAACCAGCGCAGCGGACAAGGCAGAGGGAGACAACACAGGGTGCCCATCCGACAGCATTCCTATGGATGACATGACACCATCCCACCATTCACCATAACGTTTGCTTCTTCACCTGTTATCTACATGCTTTCATTTTTTTCCAAAACGACCTGGCAGCTGTTATCTTACAGCCATTACTGTGCACACAAATTTTTGGAGAGCAAGGGGGAAATCTCAATATACACTGACACGCAACAGGCAGGGCCCAGTAGCAGAGCATCACTCTTCTACTTTGTAATTACCTATAGCTTTCCTGGAAGAATATCATAATCGGTTTCTCAGAAATAATATAGACGAATAGCATCCAGGTAAAATTCTGCCTTGTGTAACTTTGGTGAAGAATGCAGACATCATGAAAGAGCAAAATTTGACTAGTCCTGCAATGATATTTTAGCATCAATACAAAAAAAAATCCCAAATCTAACTACCTTGAGGTGAAATTATTCTCTCCAAATGTAATTTCCATCTGATAAATGACTCAGGGCATTGTTTCCCCTCTTCACATTTGTACCTTCCTCAGTGAATATGACAAAAAGAATCAGATCTACCTGGTTTACCCAGAGGTTGAAGTTTGCTGGGGAGAATGGAACCACTGAGTAACACAGACTACATTTAACCTTTGGCTATGATGATACAGAGTTAAAATCACTATCAAAGGGAAAAAAAAGAAGACAAGCTTCTATTCCTCAATCAAACTGACCTGCTGTTTGCATTGCAGACATTCTAGATCTGTAGAAATGATGCAAAACGTTTTGGCACAGCTTAGATTGAAGAAATACTTAATATGAAAGGAAAGGAATTTGCTATGTATAGAGATATCCTAAAAAGTATGGTTCGGTTTTGTCCAGCTAAAGAGTAAAATTATGTCAGTATAATGCAAATATTTGCATAGTTTATTTGTTTGCAATTACCAGGCATGTCTAAATAGAAAGAAAGAACATGGAAAAGACATAGCTGTAGAGGCACAGAATAAACAAAATAAAATGCAGAGAAAATAACTACTCATATGGCATACATACTTGTTACTATGACTGGTAAAATGCTTTCTGTAGTGTGGAGACTGTAGATCATGTCAATGGAGTTATCTCACTAACCGGCTGTGAACATTGCATTGAGGGTTTATTTGATATGTGAGTAAATGACATGCACACACACACCAGAGAGAAACAAAGGCAGTCACACTGAAGATAATAAACCAGGTATTTATTTCAAAGTATTTAACAGATTAAAGAATTGAGTGCGTACGTGCAGTGTTACCATCCCTACAGGGTTCAGTCGCAAAAACAGCACACTTCCCATCAAAACCAGAACCTGACTTTTCACATTGTGTCCAGCACATTGGATAGCAGACTGAAAATCCGAGACACATTCACCTGTATTAGGTGAGGGTATCACTCTGCTGCTTAAAATTAAGAAAAAAATTGATTCAGCTTTCATCTTCCTTAGCACATATTTTGCCATCTTTCTTGATAATGGTAAAGCAGTATCATAAGACCAAAATTGCTCCTTACACTTGAACCTGGCCTCAGTTGAAAATGGAAAGAGCTCTCTCTAAGTAGAGCTCAAACACAGAGATGAAGAGCTGCTAAGAAGCTATCAGAGCTGTCTAAATTGGTAACCATTTAACCAAGTGCAATGTGTTTTAAGAATTTATGAAACTAATTATTTGTAATTGTAAGGCTATTACAGCATGATTAGGAGCCAATGAAGAAATATCACCAAAGAAAGCAAAGTGCTTCAGTTATATTTATATTGTGTTAATTTTTAACAATCCAATTAGGATTTTTGTATGTACGTGCACGTGCTTATGTTGTCTATGTATCTCCTTGATGTTCTGTTGTTGTTTGCATTTTTTTTTGTTTTTACCAGGCCAGCCTCCAAAATATGTGACTTTTGTTCATCCTTCACTTTAAGTTAGAACCATTAATGCTTATTCATACACGTTACGAAAATAAAGCTGTTGTGTGCCATTTCACTCTTTAAAATTGTAAAACTCTGGCTTGAATTCAGACAGTTGTATGAATGTGAACTGGTGTTACTTTCTTGAGAATTCACACTGACAAACATTTACACTATCAAAATTAAATATCTCCTGTCCTAATACCAGTCTTCCCTACCTTCCAGCAGCAAAATACTATTAGCTTCAGTGAAAGTTAATTCTATCAAGCGTTTCATGCTGGAACCATTACATCTGTCTTGTATGGCATTATTAGACTGACCTTCAAAGATAGGGAAGACTGTTCTAGGTAACTCCTGTTCAACAGTGGCCTCTGTGGATATCACTCTGCCTGGCTTTGTGCCCCATGATATGATGTGTGTGATGTCAGAGTGAACATAATGAGATACTCAGACTCAGAATTTGAATAGAAATAGTTAAATTGCTGTAAGCACTTACCATCAAATCTTTCCTATACTTCCCTCAATTATCTCCCACAAAAACATTCTCACTTATTCTCTAAGAATTCTCTACAAGATGTGATTTTTATATTGACTCCAGATCAGTACATTAACCTACATGTTCATGTCTAAAAAGACTTCTGCCTGCATAATACAAAATTCAGGCTTAAAGACATTTAAAACACTACAGACAGTCATTACATTAATGATAAAAGGTATTATTTTCACCCACTACTAGCATAGAAATTGAAGTTGATGAAAACAGGGGAAAAAAATTTTTGTGTGACGAAATAATAATCCTTCTTTAAATTTTATCAAGAGCTATAATCTCCCTTTACTCAGTAATCATATAAAAGAATCACATGAACTAAAAGTACAAAACAAATAAAAATGTACTTACCCCAAATTGCCATGAAAATAGCAAAGAAGACGGTCCCTCCATTATCAAACAAATGTGTAACCTGAAGAGCAAACAAATACATCAAGAACAAATAATATTGCTATCTTATCTTTTGCCCCAAAGAATCCCAGTGTACAGCACTGGTGGCAGAAACTAAAAGCTAAGCATCCTAATAAGAAGTCCTACTTGCACGTTTCTTCTACCAAGGTTTGTCCCATTCTGCCTTACAGTATAACTTGAACTCTAGTTTTCCAGACTGTCACTTCACGTATCTCCAGCCCATTTGTTTCACAGACACTAAGAGCAGCTCTGTCCGTGTCCAGACAGGCTAAAAATTCCTCCAGAGTCCTTCTCATACGCTCAGTGAAATTTAACCTCAACATTTTCTATTTTAAAGTTTTTATAAGCTTAAATAACTTCCATCCTTTCACTTTTCTTTCTCTGTATGTTACTTAGTTAATAATGTCCCTTTCGATTCCACTTTCTTCTTCTCCCAATTACCCTGCAATTCTTGCAGGTAAGAATAGTATATATTCCTTTTTATCCAGACATCTCAGCTCCCAAATTGTTGAAATATTCTCCTTCTTAAAAGCCTAGTGCCCCTAAACTCCAACCAACATTAAATAAATTCTAAATACCACTCCCCCCCAAACATAATTCTAATTTGTGCACTTAATTTATCGTCATGAATGCTCTCCTTTTTGTTGGATTTATCACTTCTTAGTCTTTGTTATAAGATTCTTCAGGCAGAAAAGATATCCTGCTGCAAAGTCCAAGGCTTATCAATACAAAATAAGTAATAATTAGGTTTTGCATGCCCATAGATCACTCTAAAGTGTCTGAATCTGATGTCTCACTTATTAAGAAAACATCACAAATTATATTGCAAAAATCCAGAAATTCTACCATTGAAGCCTTAATATGAAATAGTAGTTAGGAAGCTGAAATTAAGGTCAATGTACTTCCAATAGATTTAAGGTTGCCAATTTATAGCTATGTAATTTATCCAGGGAAAATTGGCCTCCATTTCTTCTAATGAAAGGTGGTTTAAGATGTTGCTGAGCATTAGTAAGCAAAGCACAAATTCCTATTTGAAAGAAAAGCACAAATCATTATAAAATAATAGTACAAATCAACTAACCATCAACAGCCATAGGTTAGAAAGAGGGTCTGAAGAGAGAGGAAAAATAGAAATGAAAAAGTGCTGCAAATGGCTTTGATATGTATCATCCTAAACCATCCAGAAAATTCATGGTGATTTCCCACTCTTGCAAATAAAAAGAGAACATCTTAAAACAGAATATTACTGAAAAGACTTTACTTTAATTGGTGCTGACTCTACTGCTGACTTAACGACCAATTTTAAAGTTTTTATCATTAAAAGAAACCTGTCTTTAGGCTGATGGAAGGGTGCAGATAACCAGATTCAATTTTGCTGTACTGTGATATTCTCTTACAACTGAAGTTAC